CCCCCAGTGCAGGGAGATCTGCTCACTCTTCTGATTGGAAGATGTCCTGTCCGTTCTCTCCCCTGTTTCTTCTCTTGCATCCCTTCCAGCTGTGGAAAGTTGGCAGCAAAGTGCTGCAACACGGGTTGTTTGACCAAATGTTGTGTTTTTAGAGATCAGCTTAGTTACACTATCCATATACCAGTTAGGTGTAGTGGTTAAGTGCGAGGACTCGAGTCTGGGAGAACCGGGCTTGATTCCCCACTCCTCCACATGCAGCTGCTGGATGACCTTGGGCAAGCCGTAGTTCTGATAAGAGCTGTCCTTGGAAAAGAGCAGTCTCTGTCAGAGCTCTCTCAGCCCCGCCTGCCTCACGGGGTGTCTGTTGTGGGGAGGGGAAGGGAAAGGAGTTTGTAGGCCGCTCTGAAACTCCCTTGGGTAGTGAAGGGCCATGGGGGATCTCCTCCTCCTCCTCCGCCTCTTCTTCTATTAAACAACGGAATGTGTATGGTTCAGACGAGCGCACTTCCCTTTAACTTAACTGGTCAGTTGACTGGCCTGTTGGCACGGGTTCTTCCACTGATTCCCAAAGTGGGCAATACCGCCCCCTGGCGGGGGCTGGAACAATCCAGGTGCAGATCCACAAACTGCATTTTTTTGTCCACTTCTTGAAGGTAGATTTCCGGGGGGGCGGGGGCACTGAGTTATCTTTTTCTTTTTCTGAAAAGGGGCGGTAGGCCAAATAAGTTTGGGAACCTCTGTTAAACTTGTCGCATGTATCTAACAAAGGATGCTCAGCCCTGTCTCTGAACTGCAATTTTCCAGGCTTTTTTTGGGTGGTGGTGGTGGTGGTGGGTTTTGAGCCATGACAGTCCAAACAACATGACATAGTCTTAAATGCATCTTAAAGATCTCTCTTGGGGCGGAGGCTGGTAGGCCGTTGAGTTGGTGGGAGTGGGGGGGGGGCATTTCAGCTCAGACCTGGGAGTCCCCATGGGCTGAGCGTTGGGCCGGACTTGGTGGCAGTTTTGAATCCGTGGGATTTGGGTCACCGGAAAACAGGGTAACTGGAAGACAGGAGACAACGAATGGGGGAGGGAAGGTTGCCGTCTTGTAAAGGAGCAGGACAGAGCGTGGGCAGGGGGTCGACTTCCCAGATTCACCGGGGAGGGTCCTCTGGAAATCCTAGCCCCCTCCCCCTCCCCGTTGCCATCCTTTGGCCTGGAGCGCCAAGGCCTTCCAACCCCACCCCCGGCACTGAGAGGGACGGCTCCCCTTCCTCTCGAGCTGAGACAGACGGGCCCCCTGCTCGATGTGGAACGGCTTCCGGGGATGCGGCGCAGGTGGGGGCCGGAGGCCGGGCAGAAGCCGAGGAGGCGTGCAGGAAGAGTGACTCCAAAGAAGAAGCCGGGCTGGGAGCTCCCTCCACCCCCAACCCTGGTGAGTGATTCTCGGGGTCTGTGGCAAGACTTGGAGAGAAGCCCCCTCCCTCCTAGGTGCCACCACCCCCATTCTTGTGTGGCTGGAGATACAGTGTGTGTGTATCTGTGTTGGGGGGGGGGTCAGGTTCTGGAGCCGGTGGGGCCCAGAGGTGTCAGGGTGGGGCAGGGTGCATTTGTGTTGTGGCAGAGCTAGTGCTCAGCGTCTCTGGGATCCAGCTGCAGAAGTGCCCTGGATGGGAAGGAGAGGCTGGGCTGCGGGGGGCCCCTGGGTGGGAGGGGGG